GATTACGAAAAGATAAATTTTGAAATCAGAGCGAAACATAATGCCAGTTTGAATGCACATCGTTTACATGAAATAGCCCATTTACGTTTGACATCACAAATGAATTCAATTTTAAATATACTTACTTTCAATCAAGTATATTTAGAATCAATGTATTTACTTTTATCTATCAAGCAATTCAGAATCAATATACTTGATTTTACCTATCCGCACATTTTCATGAAGTAGTACAATAGCATTTAAAATGAAAATGCATGAGAAAAAACGCTGTAAATTTTTAATTCAAATTAATGCGGCATTCAAAGACATTCGGAGTCACTTACTGAATATCCATAATTGAGGAAATGGAGAGAAAATTTCGTAAGTGAATGTCGAAAAAAGTGCTGCTTGATCTTCAATTGAGGGTACGATGTAGGATTTGCGATGTAGGATGTTACGATGTAACTGTTAGAGACATCTGAATATTTTTGGCGAGAAGTTTTCTGGTTTAATACTGAAACAAGCTATCACATTTGACTAATTATCCTCTTTATAATTACATACAACTAAATTCTTCTCCACATGTACCTAATTCCTTCTCTTAAGTCAAGATTAACCAAAATAATTTATAACTGGAGATTATCTGGCAAAGATCTAGATCTCGAGTGGAGTAGAAACTAAATCTTGATTTCGGAAGACGTTCCTTCTCGGAAACCGCTATCGTTCTATCATGAAAAATGCTGGCATTACATTACCGAACCCAAAGGACACGTTTTCGAATATGCATATAAATTTAAGTTCAGATGGATGATCTCGATTATACGGAGGCGGATAACTAGGTTACCGTATTGCTCATGTGATTTTCCCCCTAGCTTTTTCAAGCTAGGTTCTGAAAATTTAAAAAATATTCGCATAATTTTCCCTTTTGTCTGTTGTACAGTTCTCCCCTCCGAGGATTAGCTACTGGTAATCTGCATTCCCTCTATTATTTGTATTTTTATTCCGTCTTTGTGCAGATTTTTCGTTAATCCAGCCGGACGTAGCAAACATTCTCGCATTTATGTGATTTAACCTTACTTCTATTATTTATATTCCGAGCTCAGTGTAGCTTTATCTACGCTGATGAGTTCGATCTTTTGAAATCTAGGGCTCTTGCCTCTTTGTCTTTCGTTCCTACTATGCCTTTTCTGGGAACTGAGATCAAGACCTATTCATGTGAGATAGCTCTGGGCCTTTACAAGATAAATGAGTCAGAGACGTTGTTTTCTGCGATACATATCCAGCTCAGTCAGCGTCAGATACTGTCAGTTATATGCTCAATATCCGTCAGATATTTTAATGTATTACTCTATATTATTAAGGGCATGTAGGTTTATTTTAAACAAACATTTGATAGTTAGCATAAGGTTATCCATGACTACTTTTGATTTATCATGTTCTTGCTGTAACCGTGTTTCTTCAGAAATTAAAATTACTAGCATAATTTTCTGCTCTGGAGTTTCAGACGATAAAACATTAAAAGTTTAAAAACTGGCCAGATATCGCCAAGCTGGTAGCAGTTTCGGCGACTAATTTTTGTTGTCAAATTTTGGGAGAAATTGTCAAAAGTCGCCAAACTTGGCGACAATTTGACGAGATTTGGGTCCATAATTGTATCTCCGTAATAGGTATTGTAATTCAATAAATGCAATTGGTGACTATATTAGCTGCAACCGTATCTGGCCGTCATATGTCTTTCAATAATTTCGAGAAGCAGGAAGTACTAGAAATGTCTCGGCGCCCGGGTGAAAACTACATAAGGCAGGTGAGATTATGTGCCCTCAAATGTTGTTAGCTGTTAGTACAGCATGAGTTCACAGTACTGAAATGCGTCCAGGTTAGCTTTTCTCTTTTAATGCACTTTGCATTGAATTGTGTTTAACGTTCTTAGTATTTTGAAGTGTAACTGCTGACTATAGTCTGTGAAGATTTAACAGAGTACTTTTGTGGAAATTTTCAGAATTCTGAAGTGTTTGTTTTGATAAAAATTTTCCCAGTTTTTGAAATTTACGTATGATCTGCTTTTCGATTACCCTGTATAAACCAATAAGCAGAACACTTTGAGTAAAAAAGTGCTTTTGTTGTCATTCGTTCCATTTTATTCGTGAATTTGCTTGAGATTTCCGCAGCAGCAGAAAAATAGATTGCATAATTTGAAACGAAGTATAAAACATGAAATTAAAAATTAGTTTCGAATAAATATCAGTGAGAAACAACTTCCCCCACCCCAGATCAAGACTTTAAAATCTAATATTGTAAATCTAATATTGTACAATTTGAGCATAAATTGTCCAAAAAGTGCCTTCTTTCTTCATTACTGAAATGCAATGAAAAATGAGCAATTTTAATATCTGGTGTTGAAAAGATTTACGAACTCAATAAATTGAAAGAAATACTCATTTTACCCTCAGCACTTTTCTGCTAATGTTTGTTGCGAAGCATTTATCAGAAAGTTATTGAGCAATAACTAAGTTTTGGAAATAAATTGGATAGAAACGAATACATATTTTCTCGCTGTACACATGCATGCATCTGTGCACTAATACAACGTTAAATTTATTTAAGGCCATTTTCGTGTCTCTAGAGAAATTAAATTGACGCTTACTAAAATAAATTGGGAGTAATACTGAAATTTGACTTTCAGCAAAATGCTTCCTAATGCGAAATGTTTTCGCATTAGAAGCAACGAAAAAAAAATTTAATTTAGACTGAAGTGCTATGAAAGGCGTGTTTACGTTTCCTAAAGGCAGAAGTTAATATAAGCTGAGCTGTTATAAGGAAATTCTTTACAGAAACTTCGGCACAATTACAGCCTTACGTTTGGGAATATTTTAGGGGATTTTTGGGGGGAACCTTCCTTGCACTAAATATCTCATATGGTAAAGCGAAAATAATGCACATATCAAAAACTAAATATATAAAAACTAAATGCATAAAAAAAACATAATATATTTGTAAAAGTAAAAACACAAATATATTCCCAACAAGCAACTGCAGCTAACATGCAGTTAAAACAATATACACAATAGACTTAACAACACAAATTAATACCTAATCGTTATAGTGGTTAAAGCTCCTGACTGCTGTAAATTTTATTGTGTTCAAATTTTAATCCCGGTGAAGGCACTGATATTTGTAAACGCTTAGTCTCTCAGCAGAATGGCGGCACTCAAAATACACTGCGAGCCGAAGGTCTTCTCGAGTGGTCTGGTAGTAGGGAAGGAGAAGTGAGCGACCCTCGGATTCCGTCCTTCCGGGGAGTCTCCTTCAAATCTGGAATGGAAAGCTAGACAAGATTGTTCAAAACTGGACTGGAGCTAGACAAGGTATTTTATGTAGCTTGTTGCGACACAAGAAGTTATATATAGACGGGCAGGATTATTTTCATAAACAGGACAACATGATATCTTCATAAATTAACATAAAAAGTAAAATAAAGTGTAAGCATAAAGAGTCTAATTAAGGATACCCCTCATATGATTGTGGAAAATACGGTTATATAAAAGTTCTTGGCTAGCTGTTGGACACTAATAAGGTTTAAATTTTATATAACTTTTTTTGTGATGTTAAATTATGAAGACATCTCATTGTCAAGGCATTCAAACAAACCGAATTATATTATATTTAACAAGGAAACTGGACGATCCTGTGGGTTGGATTGCAATTTTTGCCATATCAACGAAACTTCCTTAACTCTAATAATTAAACTTGTCTGTGATGATCCAGTTCCAGAAGAGACTGGGAAAACGTGGTTATGTGTAATGAAACTCAACACTTAAATTCAATTCACATTCCAAGAAATGTTCTGTTATCCGAATTTTTTGAAGACCAGGAGCGGTATGTTGAACTCCTTCTGACGATTTTATGTTGGAGTTGATAGAATTCGTCTTCTTTCATGTTCTTTTTTACTTTCTTTGTTTTTGGGTTTTCTTGTGATGGTTTATTTTAACTTAATGTTTTACATGTACATCATTATATTCTGCATTTATATGATCTTTTGAAATTTATTTATTTAAATTTCCTTTTTTGGTCTTTGTGAAAACTTTGATCTAAATTTTTTCTTTATATATTTCTTTATATTCTGTACATATATATTATTATTAAGTTAACTGTGCATACTACACTTAGCTAAATCTTTCAGAATTTGGAACTTACACGTTTCCTTCATCTATCCCTTTCATTTCAAAACTGACATTTCATGAAATGGATTACCCGTTACTCTACGGATTTCCCAATCTAATCATAGCAATTAAAGAGGGGTTTAAAGTACTATGACTGCGATGCTTCTTACCAACATACAACAGTTATGCAATAATCGTCAAGTTTATCCTTAATGTTTATTAAATATGTTTATCTAAACTCTAATTGCCCTGAATTATTAAAAACGAATATAACTTTCTTCTTGTAATTCAGCTGATTAATATAATATTAAATCAATTTTAATTAAGTATATTTTAAAAGTATATTGATGGTAAGCTATGTCAAAATATTGTTTTGAAGGATATGTAGTTGCCACTTGAAAAAACGTTTGAGAAAATCTGCAATATATTGTTTCGAATTTTGTATATATGTAAATAGTTTTAGTGACATTTCATGTACATTGTGGTATTTCTTTTCTAATGTAACATGAAAGGCCTCAGTGCCAAGCTGGCTATGGTTTGGGAGGCTAAATTGCCGAGAAATCGCCAAAATTTGCGATGTTTTGATCCGATGCCTGTATAACTGTAAGTGGCCTGATCTTTGTATGTAACTGTAACTGTATATGCCTTCCAACAATTTCGAGAAATCAAAGGTACTGGACATTTCTCGGGGCTCGAGGGAAAACTATAGAAGACTGGAGAGAGATTTAGTTCTCAATTTTTAGTTCAGAGTTGACTTCTGAGTAATGAGAATGCTCCATGCCAGCTTTGCTCTTTATATGCACTTTGTATTGAGCTGTGTTTATCGTTCTTAGTAGTTTGAAGTAGTGACTACTGATTGTGCTATGGCATACTGAGAACAGCTGTATGAGTCATACTGAGAACATCTGTATGAGTCATACTGAGAACATCTGTATGAGTCATACTGAGAACATCTGTATGAGTATACTGAGAACATCTGTATGAGTCATACTGAGAACATCTGTATGAGTCATACTAAGAACATCTGTATGAGTCATACTGAGAACAGCTGTATGAGTCATACTGAGAACAGCTGTATGAGTCATACGAACCATGAGTCATACTGAGAAATCTGATGAGTCATACTGAGAACATCTGTATGAGTCATACTGAGAACATCTGTATGAGTCATACTGAGAACATCTGTATGAGTCATACTGAGAACAGCTGTATGAGTCATACTGAGAACAGCTGTATGAGTCATACTGAGAACATCTGTATGAGTCATACTGAGAACATCTGTATGAGTCATACTGAGAACAGCTGTATGAGTCATACTGAGAACATCTGTATGAGTCATACTGAGAACATCTGTATGAGTCATACTGAGAACAGCTGCATACGTATACCGAGAAGAGCCGTATAAGTAGAGCTGTTATGAGATAAAGTATCATAATTATAAACTGTTTCTTTTGGCAAAGAAATTTTATCAAGTTATCATCAGCTGTGTGTGTGCATTTAATCCATCACGAACCCGTATGCACGTAACAATTATAGCTAACATAATTTTCTTCTGTGTGAAAAAGCGAAGGGACAAAACTTGTGTGGCGTGGAATACTCAGCTGATCAATCTTTACGTTCACCGAATGTTGCTGTATTTTTTTTTATGTTCACAAACTGATGAAGAGTTGTAAAAATTGTTACTGCTTCTAGTTGCAAAAAAAAAAAAAAAAAAAAAAAAAGAAGTTTTGCTATTCTGTCATGTTTATTCATTAAGTTTATGTTAACTGTTAACACATAAAAATACTAACTTGGTAATTGGAAACGCTGAAGAATACTAAATGGTTTAATTTAATAATTTTGTGTTTCGAAGCTGAGGATGACAATGATTTGTAAAGCAATTTAAAGTGGAATCCTATGTTGTATTATGCAAAACAGTAAAGCTATTATATTTGTATATTTAAAAGCGTGAAATTTAAGATTCCAGTAATACTATCAGTAAGATCTAATTGAAGTATTTACATTCTGCTTACTCTTTTATGTTAATTTTGAGATATTATAAGACGAATTAAGTTTAAGATATGAGTTACCTAACTTTATTTATTATTTAGTTTACTTATTGCTACTTTATTTACTATTTCCAGTACTCTCTCCAGTGACGATAACTAGCCATTGGGTGTTAGGCATTATTAAGTTCAGAAGCTGTGGTCACTTTATTACGGAGACACCTAATAGGTGGGTCATCGTTGCCTCCTATGAAGGGAAAGTCACTTAACATCGATGCTTTTCCTGAGATTCTAACTCGGGCACTCCGGTAAGACAATCAGAGTCGTTAACCACGTTCCCGTGTGGGAGACGTTTATTATTCCCAAAATTAACAGAGACATCAGCATCTTAGTAAAGTTTCACACGCTCGCTTAATTAATTCATGAGAGAATCGGTGTCTTAACAGTTTATTATAATAAGAAAATCCAGATTAAGCGCTGAACGAAAGTAAAACTTAGCTTTCCCCTCTAAGTTGGTTTCTAAGACTTAATACTCTTGGGTGGATGAAGTCTTCTGGTCTTTTATTTCTTCTGGTCACGTCCGTCAGAGACCGAATGCTTAAGAGAGCTAAATACAATCCGAGTTCGAATCGAGTTGTTTAATAACCTCTCAGAGTTACATGCGATTGTCCTCAGGAAGTCCACACTTTTCCTTATTAGTTACAGTTAGGCTCAAACTGTTCAACTATACCTATAATTCCTATTTTTAATATTTATGCTTTTGTTCGCCCAAAAGGGCTATTAGTCATGAAACACGATTTTGCATTGTGTCACGTTCCATTCAAATTTGTTACCATTCGGTAAAACGTAAGATAAATATTATTCTTCCATTGTAATCCGTTTGCTATTGATGAACAAAATAAGTTACTTACAAGCAATGGATGTTTAAAAATCTTACATTTTTAATTTTTTATCTGGTTTTTAATTTTTATTTTGGCATTCTGAACGTTTCAACAATTATTACTTTTTCATTTTTCAGTCTGCGTTCTATCCGATAGAAGACGCGTTGATTTATGAACATACTACGTATCAATTTATTATGTCTGTTAGTTGGCCATAAAAAATTTTTTTGAAAGAGTTCATATTTTAGTGTGTCACCAGAAGGTTTGCTAAGGTTTTTTTATGCTTTGGCTGAGCTTAGAGAGTGGTAACATTCTGACATTGAGCTCGCTCCTGCTAACACAACGTTTCGTCTTTTTATATCTATTATTAAACATTGATTTATTCGCATTTACACAACATAAAGTTCAACAATAAAGTCACATGTTTTAGAATTCCCAATAGACTGTTAAGTGCTGCCATACATTTTTTTTAAACTTTTTCACGCGTTTCTCAGTTTATCATATCAAGGTTAATTTTTCTTAATACGATGAACTAAACAGCTTTATTCGATATTTTTTTGTCGCAATTTTTTTCCAATCCACTTGAATCACATAAGTTCAACAGCAAAATTGCAAAATGTTTCAATGCAGCATATGTTTAAAATTTCCGATGTAGTGTAAAGTGTTACCATTATTTTTTCCAATGCTTTCTAAATAGGTTCAATTTACTTAATAATATTAATTACATTGCTTGATTTTGACTTCCTTGTACTAAGTAAAAAGGAAGTATTGTAATCGCGAAAAGTTGCAGACAGCATATTTCAACGAAAATATCCAACGAAAATATCGAATGCAATTTAACGATGTTTTTGCGTGATATCTGTACGTAAGGACAGAATAAAATACTCTTTTCCTTCAAAAAAATTATAAAAACTGCTTTAAAATTAATTCTGAAGAGAATTTTTCGTGGCGTCTGTACGAACGTATGTACGTACATGAGTACGTATCTCGCATAATTCAAAAACGAGTAGCCTCAGAACGTTGAAATTTTGAATATAGGACTGCTATAACATGTAGATGTGCACCTCGTATTTTGGTTGCAATCGGCCGCACCAAAAGTATATAAATATATGTATATATATATATATATATATATGTTGTATGATCTTAAATTCATTTAGTGCGAATACAAGTTACAACTACTTGGGCAATTGCTATGATTGAATTGTGTTGTTCTTATCCTCCGGTTAAGGTTTTTATACCTTTTTGTAAATCTGCATGCAATATTGAGGAGTTATCAACAATTTAAAAGTTGTTAAAGTGCAGCTAAGCCTAATGCATTTTGCGATGGCGGACATGTTTGTTTACATTTCAAACTTGGCAAAATAGCGGATTTGTTCCCAATCTAGAGAAACAAAGCTTCGCAATAACAAAGATAACGCCTTCTTTTATTATTTTGAATTAAATCATGCTTAATCCATTCTGGAAATTTTTTCGAGGAAATAAGTGTTTCAGATTTACTTCGTAATTTTTAATATAGATATTTTGAGTTTTTATGTACTTTTGCCTTGTCGGGAAGTGAGAACTGAATTAATTGAGTGAGAAATACTGTATCGTTTTTGAAAAACCGTTTCTTTTTTGTTTTGTTTGCTTAATTTCTTTTATACATCGTTTTAGATTTATTGTAGTATTTGCATAGAACATGTGGCAACGATTAGATAATTCTTCAAATGATAATAAATTCATATGCATTCTGAGGTATAATATGGACTAAATGTAGCACTGTTAAGTGAACCTAGAGCCAGAGTGTCGCTATGGTAAAAAAATAGAGTAAATTTTTAAGTGCATTTATTCTATTGTGGTTTATGCGCTATCAACGATGTAGATTTGATTTAATCCAATAAGCAATGAAATGCAAGAAAAAATGCGTATAATTTAATATTCCGTGCAAGGTAGTCATGTGGTATACACGTCAGATTTTTTAGTATTAAATTTTTGTTTTTAAAATTTAACAACGAAATCAGAAAACGCCTAAAACAACGTACCTTTAGAATTCCCAGTAGAAGGATAAGAGAAGTCATACACAGTTTTAATTGCTTTTTTAAAAATAAAGCGTAACGGTAATATTTGGTGGCAACATCTTTTTATTAGTGTTGCTATACTGTTCTTAAAGATTGTTACATTATTTCTTTAAAAATGGTGCATGGGAATAAAATTTGATGGCAACAAAGAAAACATTATTTGAAAAATTATATGGAGAAAAAGGGGAATTTCAACACTAATAGCATCTTTGGCGCTAAAACTATACTGAAGCACAAGAAGACTCATTGAATGTCTCACAGATAAATTTCATAACAAATCAGAGCAAAATTCGAGAAGACAATCGAAAGTGAAAATGTTTTAGTAAGAAAGCAAGAGAAACCTCAAGACAAATCATTGATGCATCAAGAGGTAAAGCAGCGTCATATTTTTACTTCCAGAATTGAGCTACAAGAAGAAATCTTACCAAAGCGACTTAACGAAAACTAAAAATTGAAAGCAAATGCATGGAACACAAAATCAAATTAAACATATAAGGCTTTTTTGGAAGCCCAAAGAGCTAACAACACCACTGACGAAACTGCTTGATGTTTCTAAATAAATAATGTGTTAGTTTTTGTAACTCTAGAAATCATCAAGAGCCTTACAAACACTCTTTTTTTAACGTCTTAACATATTGTTGTAAATTTGTTTTAAATATTTTAGATTTATTTCACGGATTTTTATTTACTACTTTTTTTGTTTTGTTTTATTGTGCTTTTGCACATTGCGTTTATTTATTAATTCATTTACATTCTGCTTTTCATGTAAAAATTTTATTGTCTGTTTAACTGGATTGATGGCTACTTATTTAATGTGTCGACAATTTATTCCGTTATGTGTTTGTTATAAATCTTTTAATATTGAATTGATGGAAGCTTAATCTCTTTTGAGCTTTCGCGAAGATGTTAGTCGATATTTGCCCGTTTCGCTCCAGCTTAATGGCAATGATAAAGTTTTCCGGAAAACGACTTTTAAGCTCTGAAAATGTGTGTGTGTGTTTTCCGGAAGCTTCCAGAGAGCATGGGTAACCTTATTAATAAGGCTGTGGTGGAGCCGGAAATCTGTTCAGTTAGCTGAATGGTTCAGTTCAGGATCGTTGATTGCAATAAACACTGCTCATCTGTAATTGATTTTGCTTATTTACGATATTCTTCGCGTATTAAGTAGAATTTGCTTTAACTGTAAGCAGTTATAGTTAGCAACAGTACAATATTATTACTAATTTTGTATATATGTAAATAATCTTAGTGAAATTATCTGTAATTATCTTAGTGAAATTATAGTATCTCATGCATTACGTAACATAAATGCCCCAGGAATGCGAAAGCCTCGCCTGAAAAGTAAAGTTGTAGCTGCAAGTTTATTTAACATTGAGGTAAATCGCTATTTCGCCAAATTAACGAAATAACACCAAGCAGGAAATGGGTTTAGCGATT